AATGAACCCCCTGCCCACCATTAGAGGGCCAAGTGGAGGAGAAGCCACAAATTTCTGCTGTGTGGAGGCCCTTAGATGAAAGAGGAGATGTTACAAGGAGAAATACTACCACTGATGTTATAATGGAGCTTGTTATCTTGAGGAACCCCTCATCCAACACACTGAAAACCCACTGAGCTGGTGGCAGGCCAAGGCCTCAGTCTGCTCACACCTGGTGAAGGTGATGGACGGAAGACTGTAGTGTGATAGCATCTGCTCCTTTGGAGAGAGTCTTCTCAAAAACAGGTCAAATACTAACTGAGAGGAGAAATCGCATCGTCCCAGCTGAGATATTGGATTTTTCTGAATGCCAACCTGCACTGAGGACATATTGTTTGGTCACAGAGTTTAGCTCCGTTCTGTCCTGGTTCTGTTCTGTGCATTTGTTTGCAGTGTTTTGATCATTTGTTTTTGTGTTGAATAAAAATTTAAAGTAAGATTAAAATGTTACACCAAAAAGAATGCCTGCTCTTGTAACAGAACAAATGCACAAAATTAGGCAACTATAAGGCTTCTCGTAAAAACACTAAATACAAAAGGGTTAATCAACGCACAAAACATTCATAGTTGACATACAGGTCCTTCTCAAAAAATTAGCATATTGTGATAAAGGTCATTATTTTCCATAATTTAATGATAAAAATGAAACTTTCATATATTTCAGATTCATTGCACACCAACTGAAATATTTCAGGTCTTTAATTGTTTTAATACTGATGATTATGGCATACAGCTCATGAAAACCCAAAATGCCTGTCCCAAAAAATTAGCATATTTCATCCCACCAATGAAAGACAAGTGTTTTTAATACAAAAAACGCCAACCTTCAAATAATCATGTTCAGTTATGCACTCAATACTTGGTCGGGAATCCTTTTGCATGAATGACTGCTTCAATGCGGCGTGGCATGGAGGCAATCAGCATGTGGCACTGCTGAGGTGTTATGGAGGCCCAGGATGCTTCGATAGCGGCCTTAAGCTCATCCGGAGTGTTGAGTCTTGCGTCTCTCAACTTTCTCTTCACAATATCTCACAGGTTCTCTACGGGGTTCAGGTCAGGAGAGTTGGCAGGCCAATTGAGCACAGTAATACCATGGTCAGTAAACCATTTACCAGTGGTTTTGGCACTGTGAGCAGGTGCCAGGTCGTGCTGAAAAATGAAATCTTCATCTCCATAAAGCTTTTTAGCAGATGGAAGCATGAAGTGCTCCAAAATCTCCTGATAGCTAGCTGCATTGACCCTGCCCTTGATAAAACACAGTGGACCAACACCAGCAGCTGACATGACATCCCAGTGACTGTGGAAACTTGACACTGGACCTCAAGCAATGTGAATTCTGTGTCTCCTCTCTTCCTCCAGACTCTGGGACCTTGATTTCCAAAGGAAATGCAAAATTTACTGTAATCAGAGAACATAACTTTGGACCACTCAGCAGCAGTCCCAGGCGAGATGCTTCTGACGCAGTCTCTTGTTCAAAAGTGGCTTGACCTGGGGAATGCGGCACCTGTAGCCCATTTCCTGCACACGCCTGTGCACAGTGGCTCTGGATGTTTCTACTCCAGACTCAGTCCACTGCTTCCGCAGGTCCCCCAAGGTCTAGAATCGGCCCTTCTCCACAATCCTCCTCAGGGTCCGGTCACCTCTTCTCGTTGTGCAGCGTTTTCTGCCACACTTTTCCCTTCCCACAGACTTCCCACTGAGGTGCCTTGATACAGCACTCTGGGAACAGCCTATTCGTTCAGCAATTTCTTTCTGTGTCTTACCCTCTTGCTTGAGGGTGTCAATGATGGCCTTCTGGACAGCAGTCAGGTCGGCAGTCTTACCCATGATTGCGGTTTTGAGTAATAAACAAGGCTTGGAGTTTTTAAAAGCTTCAGGAATCTTTTGCAGGTGTTTAGAGTTACATCGTTGATTCAGATGGTTAGGTTAATAGCATGTTTAGAGAACCTTTTCATGATATGCTAATTTTTTGGGACAGGCATTTTGGGTTTTCATGAGCTGTATGCCATAATCATCAGTATTAAAACAATTAAAGACCTGAAATATTTCAGTTGGTGTGCAATGAATCTGAAATATATGAAAGTTTCATTTTTATCATTACATTATGGAAAATAATGACCTTTATCACAATATGCTAATTTTTTTAGAAGGACCTGTATTTAGGCTAAAATATGATGCTACAGATCATCATAAATTAAGAGTCGTTTAGGAGCTGAAAAAGCCAGCTATCTTCAATTCAATTCAATTCAATTTAGTTCAATTCAGTTTATTTATATAGCCTCAAGTCACCTCAGAAGTCATCTCAGGGCACTGAACAGAAACATTCATATATAAAATAATAATTTAACATTATTATTCTGAGGAGCAGACTGCTTTGAGTTTAACTCTATCGCAGAACTCTCATCTTGAGCAAGCATGAAGGCGACAGTGAAAAAGAAAAACTCCTTCATGAGGAAGAAACCTTTAACAGAATCAGGCTCAGGACAAGCGGCCATCTGCTAAGACCGGCTGGGTTTGGTAGGAACGGATACACAATGGCAGGTCAAGAATCACATGTCAAGATAGAAATTGTATCAAATGAAAATTATTCAATTTTAACAATTCATTTAAGGAAATGAGATCAATTTGTCCTCCATTAGTCTAAGCCTATAGCAGCATAACAAGCCAAACCTAACTATTGGATTTATCAAAAAGGAAAGTCTTAAGCCCAGTCTTAAAACTGGACAATGTGTCAGACTCATGGACAGAAACTGGAAGTTGGTTCCACAAGAGAGGAACTGAACTAACTGAAAGATCTTCCTCCCATTCTGCTTTTGGAAACTCTAGGAACATCAAGTAAAGCCCCCAGTATACTCCCGCGTACATATGTCCATGCGTACGTACGTGCGTACTGTACGCAGAGGGTTCAGACTTCATACTCAAGCGTCCGCCCTTGTCAGCTCCACAGACAAGGGGCGTTTACCTTCGGGACCAATTGAGGTCGTCGACTGGTCATTTGCTGACACGCCTACTGGACTGATTGACGGGATGGGGGAAAAAAAAAAAAAAACAAACAAGCGCTGGCAGCCTCAGCCGCAGCGGTGTTCTGTGTTTATATGTTGTTAATAAAAATTCTAAAAAATTTTTAAAAAAGGGAGCACTGGCCCTGCAGCCCACACATCAGATCAGCTCACCAGGAAATCTCCAGACACTCCCGCAACCACGCTGGACCTGAGTTTAATTAGCTCGTGACAAATTCCTTCATTTCTCACCATTTCAGTCATGGCATCAATGGAGGAAGAAGAGATCGCTTGGCTTTTGGCAAAAAAACAAAAGAAAAGGCTAGATCAGGAACGAAGAAAGGGAATTTAATACATTGGCGTCTCATACAAAACAGTCCATCGCCGGGCAGTTTATTGTGCGACACCGCGTACGCGTTCATAAAAATTGAGCTTTGCACGGACATGCCCTGCGGGGGGACGATCGTACCTCCGCGTACGTACGTATGCGGGAGTATACTGGGGGCTTAATCCTGCAGTCTGAGAGCAAAGTGCTCTGTTAGGAAAATATGGAACAATAAGATCTGTAATATAAGATGGAGCTAGGTTGTTGAGAGCTTTGTAGGTTAGAAGTAAGATTTTGAATTCAGTTCTGGACTTGACAGGGAGCCAATGGAGAGAAGCTAAAACTGGAGAGATATGATCTCTCTCCTACCACTATCTGAAAAGAGCCAGACTTCCTATCACTAGTCTGTGTGGTTCTGATCTGAAAAAACCTACAGATCACCTGCAATCATCATCACTACCAGTCCAATCCAAGTTTTCCTTCCCCACTGTGTTTTAGGCTCACAGGCGGTGTGTACAGCTGCTCGACTTGCCTCTTCCTCCTAGAATGTAACACCACAGCTTTTGTTTCTGAATGTCTGGCAGATTACAATGCATGCTCTTTCCAGTGTGATGGACATGACCACCCTCCCCCTGATGTGGTATTTGTGAGATCCCCAGAGTATTTTCGTTGCATAAAAACTATAAGTTTCCATTCTGACAAGTCTGTCTCTGACTTTTTAGTGCAAGTTGAATGACTTTTTAAGCAACAAAATAATGTGCACAGCCTACAATACAGTTTTGCAAGCAGTGATTGTTTTGGCCATGGCTGCACAGCTGTTCCCTCAGACACTGGGGACCAGTTGTGGCGACGCTAAAAGTACAAAGTACTGTGCATGCTTTAGAAGTTGTAAAAGGTAAAAACTTTACCTGGAGGAAGAGGGGTTTTCTTCTGGATTAGAACTACTGCTACCTTGGTGTTCCTGCCCTGCAGACTGGTTCTAAGAAAAAACAGAAACTGTTTATGAAACTGAGTACAATTTTGTTGAACACTCACAGGAAAAAGTAGACGTAGTCAATCACCGTTTCTGTACGTTAACAACTTTGACATACCTGACAATCTCCACCTTAGTTGCACATTCCGACTGTTTCTCCTTCCACTGTGGGTCATCCCAGTCCAGCTCATAGAACAGAACCACCAGAGCAGGAACCAAGTTCAGGTGTTTGTTCATCCAGCTGGTCTTCAAAATACCTTTTGGGATGTACCACTCATATGATGTCCGCTAAGCACACAACATAAATGTTAAAAAGAACTCAGAAGCTTTCCTGTCATACACATGTTCAATAAGTTTGGACTAACAGTTATAAACTGGGCTCAGACTGCAAGTTTTTTATGAAGTGGCTCCATAATTGTAATGGATGCATCAGGCATATGTTCAAAATTTAAAAGAATCTGATGAAAAACTTCTGAAAAGGGTCAGAGGACAATACCACCTTCCAGACCTCCTCATGACTTTTGTATCTAAAACCAACGTGCAACAAACAAAATGATGAATACGTTCCATGATACATGCACTTATATGTCTTGAGCAGCCTTATTAGAATATAAACACATCCAACTTATGCACGTAATCAAATAATTTTGATTTGTTGTGTAGTATGAACAGTATGCTGAGATATATTCATACATTTCACGGGTTCTTCATTTTTCTGACTGTGTACATGTAGTGCATTGAATTTAACAGAAATGTAACGAGAGACGTTATTTATCTTTGACCCATCAAAATGAATGCGGTCATTTATTTACAGAATCAAAGTTTAACATCAAACATTTACATTAATTTGGCAAAATATGAAAACAATAACATGGCTAGTTTCACAGGAAGTGGGAACAATACGGAGATTGTTGTCACTTTTCAGCAGAACAGCAGACATCAATCACACGG